CCGTCTGATCTGTAATTGCTCCCGGTGTAGTACCCATAGAGTAAGTTGTGTCTGTAGAGTCAGAAGGCATAGTTTGCCGGCCAACAGGTCGTGCAGTCGTTTCTTCAGTCACTGCTTCCCTGGTCGTGTCAATCGGAATATAGGTGGTAGCAGGACGAGTTATTGACGGAACAGTGCCCTCAGATCTACTTGTTGTTCCTTCTGTGGTGAATGCTACCGTCTGATCTGTAATTGCTCCCGGTGTAGTACCCATAGAGTAAGTTGTGTCTGTAGAGTCAGAAGGCATAGTTTGCCGGCCAACAGGTCCTGCAGTCGTTTCTTCAGTCACTGCTTCCCTGGTCGTGTCAATCGGAATATAGGTGGTAGCAGGACGAGTTATTGACGGAACTGTGCCCTCAGATCGACTAGTTGTTCCTTCTGTGGTAAATGCTACCGTCTGATCTGTAATTGCTCCCGGTGTGGTACCCATAGAGAAAGTTGTGCCTGTAGAGTCAGAAGGCAGAGTTTGCTTAACAATAGGTCCTGCAGTCGTTTCTTCAGTCACTGCTTCCCTGGTCGTGTCAATCGGAATATAGGTGGTAGCAGGACGAGTTATTGACGGAACAGTGCCCTCAGATCTACTTGTTGTTCCTTCTGTGGTGAATGCTACCGTCTGATCTGTAATTCCTCCCGGTGTAGTACCCATAGAGTAAGTTGTGTCTCTAGAGTCAGAAGGCAGAGTTTGCTTAACAATAGGTCCTGCAGTCGTTTCTTCAGTCACTGCTTCCCTGGTCGTGTCAATCGGAATATAGGTGGTAGCAGGAGGAGTTATTGACGGAACTGTGCCCTCAGATCTACTTGTTGTTCCTTCTGTGGTGAATGCTTCCGTCTGATCTGTAATTGCTCCCGGTGTAGTACCCATAAAGTAAGTTGTGTCTCTAGAGTCAGAAGGCATAGTTTGCCGGCCAACAGGTCCTGCAGTCGTTTCTTCAGTCACTGCTTCCCTGGTCGTGTCAATCGGAATATAGGTGGTAGCAGGACGAGTTATTGACGGAACTGTGCCCTCAGATCGACTAGTTGTTCCTTCTGTGGTAAATGCTACCGTCTGATCTGTAATTGCTCCCGGTGTAGTACCCATAAAGTAAGTTGTGTCTCTAGAGTCAGAAGGCATTGTTTGCCGGCTAACAGGGCCTGCAGTCGTTTCTTCAGTCACTGCTTCCCTGGTCGTGTCAATCGGAATATAGGTGGTAGCAGGACGAGTTATTGACGGAACTGTGCCCTCAGATCTACTTGTTGTTCCTTCTGTGGTAAATGCTACCGTCTGATCTGTAATTGCTCTCGGTGTAGTACCCATAGAGTAAGTTGTGTATGTAGAGTCAGAAGGCAGGGTTTGCTTAACAATAGGTCCTGCAGTCGTGTCTTCAGTCACTGGTCCCCTGGTCGTGTCAATCGGAATATAGGTGGTAGCAGGAGGAGTTATTGACGGAACTGTGCCCTCAGATCTACTTGTTGTTCCTTCTGTGGTGAATGCTACCGTCTGATCAGTAATTGCTCCCGGTGTAGTACGCATAGAGTAAGTTGTGTCTCTAGAGTCAGAAGGCAGAGTTTGCTTAACAATAGGTCCTGCAGTCGTTTCTTCAGTCACTGGTCCCCTGGTCGTGTCAATCGGAATATAGGTGGTAGCAGGACGAGTTATTGACGGAACTGTGCCCTCAGATCTACTTGTTGTTCCTTCTGTGGTGAATGCTACCGTCTGATCTGTAATTGCTCCCGGTGTAGTACCCATAGAGTAAGTTGTGTATGTAGAGTCAGAAGGCAGAGTTTGCTTAACAATAGGTCCTGCAGTCGTGTCTTCAGGCAATGGTCCCCTGGTCGTGTCAATCGGAATATAGGTGGTAGCAGGACGAGTTATTGACGGAACTGTGCCCTCAGATCCACTTGTTGTTCCTTCTGTGGTAAATGCTACCGTCTGATCTGTAATTGCTCCCGGTGTAGTACCCATAGAGTAAGTTGTGTCTCTAGAGTCAGAAGGCAGAGTTTGCTTAACAATAGGTCCTGCAGTCGTTTCTTCAGTCACTGGTCCCCTGGTCGTGTCAATCGGAATATGAGTGGTAGCAGGAGGAGTAATTGACGGAACTGTACCCTCAGATCTACTTGTTGTTCCTTCTGTGGTGAATGCTACCGTCTGATCTGTAATTGCTCCCGGTGTAGTACGCATAGAGTAAGTTGTGTCTCTAGAGTCAGAAGGCAGAGTTTGCTTAACAATAGGTCCTGCAGTCGTTTCTTCAGTCACTGGTCCCCTGGTCGTGTCAATCGGAATATGAGTGGTAGCAGGAGGAGTTATTGACGGAACAGTGCCCTCAGATCGACTAGTTGTTCCTTCTGTGGTGAATGCTACCGTGTGATCTGTAATTGCTCCCGGTGTAGTACCCATAGAGTAAGTTGTGCCTGTAGAGTCAGAAGGCAGAGTTTGCTTAACAATAGGTCCTGCAGTCGTTTCTTCAGTCACTGGTCCCCTGGTCGTGTCAATCGGAATATGAGTGGTAGCAGGAGGAGTAATTGACGGAACTGTGCCCTCAGATCTACTTGTTGTTCCTTCTGTGGTGAATGCTACCGTCTGATCTGTAATTGCTTCCGGTGTAGTACGCATAGAGTAAGTTGTGTCTCTAGAGTCAGAAGGCAGAGTTTGCTTAACAATAGGTCCTGCAGTCGTTTCTTCAGTCACTGGTCCCCTGGTCGTGTCAATCGGAATATGAGTGGTAGCAGGAGGAGTTATTGACGGACCTGTGCCCTCAGATCTACTTGTTGTTCCTTCTGTGGTAAATGCTACCGTCTGATCTGTAATTGCTCCCGGTGTGGTACCCATAGAGTAAGTTGTGCCTGTAGAGTCAGAAGGCAGAGTTTGCTTAACAATAGGTCCTGCAGTCGTTTCTTCAGTCACTGGTCCCCTGGTCGTGTCAATCGGAATATGAGTGGTAGCAGGAGGAGTAATTGACGGAACTGTGCCCTCAGATCGACTAGTTGTTCCTTCTGTGGTGAATGCTACCGTCTGATCTGTAATTGCTCCCGGTGTTGTACCCATAGAGTAAGTTGTGCCTGTAGAGTCAGAAGGCAGAGTTTGCTTAACAATAGGTCCTGCAGTCGTTTTTTCGCTCGGTGATTTTGTCATATCTTCAGTTGTTTGGTCAATGGGAGATTTTGTCGTTTTTTCGCTGGTTGTCGTTCCAAACGGAATATAAGTGGTATCTTCAGACGGGATTCCCGAAACAGGACCTTCAGGCCTTGTTGTTGGTAGTTCTGTCAAAATCTCAGTCATTTGTTTCGTTATTCGTACAGGAATAGTAGTTGTAGTTTGTATAGGTCTTTCTGAAGAAGTACTTTCTTCTGTGGTTAAAGAAAAAATACTATCGGTTGCTGGGGTTACTGATTCTGTTGGGATTCTTTTGCGTTCTCATCGGGAGGTGTATTATCATATGAGGCGGTGGGTCTTGTGAGTGAAATCGCTTGTGTAGTTTGGTAGGATTCGGTGGTACTAGTATAGGATATGGTTGTTTCGTTTTCTGCTTCTATATCGGTAAATCGAGTTCGCATTTCGGTTTGATTTGCCAATTGCATAACAGTATATTTTATATTAATTGATTCCGTTGTCGAGTCAGTAGGTTCTGTGCTTGTCTGGGGGTTGTTGTTTCGGTTGGAATGCACTTGGTGCCGTTTTGGTTCGTCACGGTGTCCGGGCAAATGCATGTGGCAACCTTGTGATCTAATGTAAGGCATTTTACTGCGTTCGCACAAACTATTTGACAGGGATCGATACATTGACCAGACGATCCACATTGGTGAGCTTCACTGCAATCTTCATGTGACGTACAGTTGCCACCTGGCTTAGCTGCTTTGAATTATCGGGTTTTTGGTTTTTACATAATTTTGGAGTGGGATATTTTGTACATATTCAAAATAAAAGTATAAGATTTAAAAAAATAAAAATTCGTTAAAATATTTACAAGTTTATACCAACTATAGGAAGGAAGGTGTGTATCTACGACAAAAGAGTATGTGCACTATATATATATACAGAGGGGCATACCTAAGAAAATACTGTTTCAGAAGTCTATCTAACTCTCTTGCATACAGCTGCAAATGTAAACAAATATCGGAAGCTTTAAAACTATTTTACGGTTAATCATTTTTAAATTAGGAACGAACGTCTTTACTATTAGTTAGCTACATATTGGTGTTGGATTGGTTTAGGTTTACCATTAGTATTACATCTCATTACCGTTTATTTAGAATCATAGGTTAAGAATTTTAAAGTACGAGTAATCAGGAGGCTTTTGATTAATAATTTGATTAATATCACTGTGAGCATGAGCGTGTGTGAATGTTCAGAAGAGTTTTCTTGAAATTGTGTCTTCATGTTATTGTATAATTGTTTGATTTGTATTCCCCTTGAACCAACAGGCCCAAGGGGACGTAACAAGATCTAAAAGATCAACAACGCTTTTCTAAACAAATCTTTTCATCATTCAAGTGCTTCAACCTAGTCGCTGTGCTAGTGGCGTAAAGCATCTGACCGTGGGGTTATATGGTCTCTTGACCTTCTTCTTCTGGCTTGTAACTAAGCTTTTGAGGGGTAAGTTTTTGCTTAAAACCATATATTGGTAGGCGAAAGCTTGGTACGGGCAGTTAATTTTCTCAGTCCTATGTACATTTACACAAACATTTCGGGGAAAAGAATTGACAAGGCCTGAAACATTAAATAAGGTGTAGGTGGCACTTTTTGGTCAATAGATTTTCCCTCTTAAGATTTGTTTGTGGTCGGTGGAGATTGGTTGTTTATTGTTTCTTTAATTTTTACTTTTTTTTTTGTGAGGGGACAGACAATAAGACAGAGCTAGCAAAAAAAGGTGAGGAGAGCGTGTGTGAGAGAGCGGGAAACAGAGATATTCGAGACAGAAAGACATAAGGCACTTTCACTCGACAGAGTGAGCTGAGTGATAGAGAGAGTACGTTTGGTGCTTTACCTTTTTGACATCCATATTTGGCATCGGCTATAAATCCAGCTGGGCAGAATTTACATATCGGCTTGTGATCCTCGACAATGCATGGCGAGTTGGGTGCGCATGTGGCAAACTTGCACGGATCGACGCACTGCAGCTTGCGGCAGGCCAGTCCAGCCGGACAGCCGGCATCACGCAGACAGATGGATATCGATGGCTGGCAATCGCGCATGCAGATGCACACCGGCTTGTGGTTCTGCACCTCACAGGACTTGTTCTCCGCACAGATCGGTGCTCGGCCCAGAGGGACAATGCACGGGTTCCGGCACTTGCCATCCGTGCAGGCCATGTTCGAGGCGCAGTCATCGTCGCGATAGCACTCCCGCTTCTCTGGGGCACAGGTCAGTTCGCCATACTCGTTCACAATGAAGCCCGACTTGCATATGCACACCGGCTGGTGGCGCCGCGTCTCGCACTTCTTGTTGCTCTCGCAAATGAAGAGCGGATTGTTGCACGGATCTGTGCATTGACCGTACTGGCCGCACTGCAACGTCTCGGGGCATTCGGTATCGCTGGAGCATGGGATTTGCTCCTTGGTCTTGGCATCGCCATCATCGGACGAGCACTTGGGATCGAGCTTGCACTCGACCTCCGGCCGACCGATGTGGCAGCTGGGGCAGGAGCAGCGCGGCCGATGCAGCACAGTTTTGCAGAGCGCATTCGCACCACACGCACCACGCATTGTACAAGGATCGCTGCAGTGTCCTTGGAGGCATGACTTTTCACTGGGACAATCCGTATCTGAGTAGCATTGTTCGGTGTCTATATTATAACATCCAGGGCAGGGAAGAACGAGAGAGAGATAGACAGGAGTTGTTTTGGTTTTGTTTAAATGTTAATCGTTGGTGGGTGCATTCAACTATTCCTTCGGTGACATAGTCGGTAAAGGGTACGCTACTCAATAGATTTTACTTTCTTTACAGCATGGAAACACATAGAAACGAAAGTGCGACATAAAAATCGTCGGTTGAGGGGGTCTTTGGTAGACAATAAAGTCTGATGGAGGGTTCAGGACTTGCTGGGGGTATTTGCATAAGATATTTCTTGGAAACAAGAGTGATGGGTGGGAAGACTCGGATAAATCTTATAACTAAATGTTTCTAAAAACAAAATTAAAAAAAAAAAAAATACAAACAAAGGAAGAACTTAAACGAGAACAGTATCATCCAGTTTTTGTTGGTTGGACTTCTTTATTTTTGGCTTAAGTGTTTTGTGTGTTTTGATTTTTGGTGTTTTTTTGGGTTTGGGTTGTGTGTGTATTTGCGGTGGGTCATCATCGGCTTCGGTGTTCAATTAAGTGTCAGTGGGATTATTGTGGACTCGATTTTGGGGTTTCGGGGGGTTTTTTGTGCACGGGGGTTATTAGAGTAAAAGAAAATTTTAGAGGGGAGATCAGATCAGATCAGATACAGATACATACAGAAATCATAAGGAAAATAAAATCATAAGTTGGACACTGGCACTTTGATTTAACTTAACGCATGTGTTCAACAGGTGCTAGTTAGTTAAAGCAGCAAAGTTGTGGCAAAGGTTGCATCATACTTTCGCTTGTCTTAATTCAAATTGTAGAACTGTGAAGGGAACATCTCACAAAAACTAGGGCTTTACAGTCTATAATATATGTTATATATGTAGGCAGGCCAAAACAATACATATCATATCGGGTTTTATCCTTGATTTGGTGGTATGACGAGCGAGTAGGCGTAGCAGTGAGAACAAGTGAGCATAGTTACATTCTTTGATGGTTTATCGTTATTAAGAGCGAGCATAGAAGCAGGATAGCCTGCTGTGGCACTATCCCAATTATTTGGATGCTGTACTAAAGGCAAGCTTAGTTGAGCAATGAATTTTTCGATCGGGATTAATGCGAATTCGAACTATATTATATATATTTTGGTTTATTGTTTTATTTTGTTTCAGTTTGAGTAATGGCAAAAATTACACGACATCCAACACATGCGCTCTGCCCTCACGAGAGACACGTTATTGGCGATTTTGGTGAGTGGGTGATTGATTGATTGATTCAGAGAAGAGAATAAAGTGAAAGATATCTATTTGAAGAGAATAAGGGGTAAATACAAGTCTGGCTAAAGCAAGATTAGCTTTGTAGGAAGAGGCTTTAGTAGGAATATGTATAGAAGAAATGAGTAGTTGGAAATCAATGGGTAAATACAATTTTGAAAAGTACGTTAGATATATATACTTGGGTGGTAGTTCGACTCATCCGGGTTATTCATAATTCACAGTTTTCAAGTTTAAATTTGGTATATATTTACAGATTTTTTCTTCTTTCGATAGGGTTAGTGTTTCTTTTTTTGCCAGCCACTTAGTTGCAGCTTATATGTACAGGTGTGTACAAGATGTCTGTATATACAACTTAATCACTAGTCAAATGTACCAAAAAATATAATTGAAAGGTTAGTTAAATTTAGTTACAATTTAAATCAATTCGGGGTGGTTGTTTATATAGAGTTTTTAACCAATAGAACGATCTATGTAGAGAGCGGTAGATAGGGAGGAGCTTTCAGAGTATAAGACCTTAATATTTATTATTTTAAAAGGAGCTTTGTACAAAATAATAAACGCTTCCGTTTATTCTCGGTTATGGCTATGTAGACTTGCTTTAGGGATGCATTGAAAAGTAGTAGTAGTTTTGTTGGTTGATGTTGCTTTTTTTGATTTGTTTTGTTTTTGTAATTGTTCTGTACACATTTCTAATGAATCTTAACTTGGTTACTATGATTTGTTCCTTAATTGGTCTTCGAATTGGCTTCGAACTTTCGTTTCAAGCATATGTGAACTATGTGTGAGAATTGTCCCGTCCACAGTTCCCAATCTGAGACTTCTTTCATTTGAGAAATGTAACAAAAGGAGGGGCTTAGCAAAAGGAAACGACAGAGCTTGGGGTACACAGGGTGGGTGGACAGAGCGGAATTGGAGGATTAAGGATGGGATTATTCGGGTAAACGGGATATCGATTTTATTTTATTGTTTTTTTTTCAAGGATGTGTTGAGGATTGTTGTCTATAATGATGATTAGCGTGGCATTGTGTTGTATCTTTATTTAATTTTAGTTAGGTTTTTGATATTTGTGCCTTTTCTTTTGCACATTCTGTTTAATCATTTATAATATTTCGCTACCAATTTTATTGACTACATATCGCTATCGCGGCGGCGTTTGTCATTAGACTAAATGTTAAAAATAGGAATGATGAACCAAATTTTTCTACTGATATCTGTGCGTTAACTGTTTCCAATTCGTAATGGATGCCGCGTATTCAGCGCCAATACACATGGTTATTTCAAAGCCAATTGTATGGAACTAGATAAAATAGGTTCAATAATAATGAGCATTGAGTTGAGCTGAGCTTTATGAAAGCCGAATGGAATATGAGAAGGCAGACTTCAAGCTTAATGGGTTCTAAATTTAACTCTGGCTTACTATGTACTGATTGTGAATGAAATTTTTAGTAAAGATAGTTGAAAATTGCTTAAAACTACACTTCATATTTCGATTTATTGATTGTGTGTTTCAAAAATGAATTTTTAGGCACAGATTGGGTAACCGCGATAGCGACAGCAACGAATTCCACGAATCTCCATATGCGTTGATGTGTGTGAATATTGTAGGTAAAAAATAAAGTTATATATAAAAAAAAACTGACGATAACTAACAAAAAATTTGCATTATTTAAACTGTGCATTGAATTATTTAATTCATTTGGCATTTTCCCAGCTGAATAAGCAGCTGGATGCCGTATTGGGAATTGGTTGTGTAGGTGGCTTTTTGATTTGGTTTTTTCGTGTTTGTTTGTTTGATTTTTGTGCGTGCGGGGAATAACCATATTAGACTAAGTAATACCTAAACTTCGCACATGTGTATAGGTTGTTAAGAGTAAAATTAAAAACTGTGTAAAACATACAAACGAATTAGCATTTTGGCATTTTATAAAACACACACACACTACACTGAAATAAGATTCCTTTGGTAAATGTTCTAAGCAGCCGCAAGGGCTGTGTGTTGAATTAGTGGAATTAGCTAATTAGCTTTAGGTTTAAGTTTTGCTTGGGCTTGTAACAACTCAGAACTAAGTAATTAAACCAAGATAATAATAATAATTAAATCAGTTTTCAATTTTGGTTACTAACAACCTCCAGTTATTTTTGGTAAGAAATTAAATAATTGTCAACGATAACGCTTACTGATTACAATAAATAACGAATAACTTTGTAAGGAACGCCGGTTAACATGATTAACATAAAACGGTACGGCTGATAACCCTCGAAATTTGAGTATGAATATAGGCACTTACCCCTCTGGCAGACATATTCATAGCCCTGGCGAACGCAGTCGCCTACATCACATTCAAGGGTGCGACAATCCTGCTGCGGCGGCGTCAGGTAACCTATGCAAAGTAAGACAAGTATAAGTCCCTTCTCTTGTTAGAAATTCAAGAACCTTTAATACTCACATTGCACATAGGCATCACCGTTGGGGAAGCTCTCCGGGCAGTAGCACTCGGCCTGATTGTTCTCCAGCACATGACAGGCGGCGTTTAAGCCACATGGCTGATCCTGGCAGGCATTCACCAGCGGTCCTCCGCAAATACATCCATTGTGGGCGTCTCCGATGCAGCCATCCATGCAGGCACACTCATAGCCGCCAGGCACTTCAGTGCATTTGGAGTTCTCACCGCATGGTTTGTTTGAACATCCTCCACTCTCCAGCGGCTGGCAGCCTGTAGTTGGATTGCCAAAGAAATCCGGTGGGCAAGAGCACTGAGCCTTGCGACCCACCACCCTGCATTGGGCATTCGAGCCACAGGCTCCATATTCGAGGCAGGGATTACGGCATTTTCCTTGGTCACAGCGCTTATTGGTATCGCAATCTGTATCCACGCGGCACTCGAATTGCACGCACTCCTTGCTGGGCTCGCCTTCATAGCCGTCGGGGCAGTAGCAGAGCATTCGGTGCTCAGAGACAGTGCACAGGGCATTCCGACCGCAGGACTTGTCATCCGCACAAGGATCCGTGCACTTTCCACGGACGCAGCTCTGATCAGCGGCACAATCTCCATTCGACTTGCAACCGGCAATGCAGGCTCCTCGCTCGCAAAGCTGACCCACCGTACATTGACGCTTGGGTCCGCACTTATTGCGGCACTTTCCCCTGGCGCACTGCTGTCCACAGGAGCAGTCCTCGTTCCTAGAGCATTTGGCGGCACAGTAGGCGCCGTTCTCATCGCACTCGCAACCAGGATGGCAGCGTTCCGGCGGCAGCTGACAGCCAGTAAGACCATCTCCAATGAAGGATGCGGGGCACTGGCACTGGACGCCGTGGTTGACCACCAGGCAATCGGCACACTGTCCGCATTGACCCGGGGTGCGACATGGGTTCTGGCACTTCTTGTTCACGCAGGCCTCGTCCGTTGCACAGCTCAAGTCCGTACGGCATCCGGTTTGACACATGCGGTTCTCGCAGATCTGTCCCTGAGAGCAGGCTTCGTCCGTGTTGCAAACGGTTCTGCATGTTCCTCGCATGCAACGCTCGTCCGACAGGCAGTTCTGATCGTTCCTGCACTTGGCCTGGCAGCTGCCGGCGTAGCAGAGTTGATTGGACTGGCAATCCTCATTCCTGCCACATGCGATGCGGGGCACCTTGCAGGCTACATTGGCATTGCCGTCGAGACCATCCGGGCATGCGCACTGCTTGCTATGATCGATCACCTGGCAGATGGCGTTAGTGCCGCAGGCAGTGGGATCGGCACATGGATCCACGCACTGTTGACCCACGCAGGCCAGGTCTTGAGGGCATCCTTGATCTGAGCGGCAGCCAGGTACACAATTCAGGCCCAGACAGAGCTCGCCATGACCGCACTCGTTGTCGTGCCTGCAAAGCGACTTGCACACTCCCTGCTGGCAACGTTCGTTGGTCAAGCAGCCAGCATCATCGGCGCACAGGGGACGGCAAACGGACTCGAAGCAGGCAAGTCCATTGCCACAGTCGCGGTTCTCGCGACACTCCAGCGGGGGAGAGCGCACACAGCCCACCTGGGGCGTGGGATTGGGCACCATGCTATCCAAGCAGCTACAGCTGGCCCGATGGTTCGACACAGCACAGGCGGCATTGGGGCCGCAGGGACTATTCTCCAGACAGGGGTTCACGCACTTATCATTGCGACAGGACTCGGAGGCACTGCAATCGTCGTCCACATGACAGCCATAGACACACTTGTTGTGCAGGCAGACATGACCCAGGAAACAGTCGTTGTCCACGCGACAGGTTACTAAGGAAGGAAAAAGATTATATTGAATCTATTACGAAGCAATGTCAGAGGTCACTTACGCATACAGTTGCCCTTCAGGCACTTCTCATTCGAGGCGCATTCAAGATCATTGTGGCACACTGGCAGGCACATGGAATCGCGACAGGTGTAGCCAGCAGCACAGTCACCATCACAGGCCACCGGGACTCGGACGCACTCCTTGGCTGAATCGCCAGTGAAGCCCGCGGGGCAGTGACACTGCTTAATGTGATTCTGGATGATGCATTCGGCATTTTGACCACACGCCTGCGGCTGCAGGCAGGGATTGAAGCATTGGCCACCTTGGCACACTTCAGACGGTCCACATTCGGTGTCCAGCACGCAGGCAGCTATAGGAAAGAGTATTCAAGAATTAGTATGTGATTTCATACGTAAGTAAGTAAGTATTTTTCTGTTGGCGTTTCGGTCTCGCAATGTTCGTGGCGTGTTGTCGCTTGTGTGTAATTTGCTGTATTTTCATTTTTAGTTTGCAGTTAAGTTAGTCTTAGTTATAAAATATCATTTGGTTTAATGCGTAGGCTCTATGCCAGTCCAAGGTTCTAGTGGTTATTATTTAGAGATGTTGTGGTAGCTTTTTGTTTATAAAAATTATAGATATTTCAAGATATTTTCAAGATACTTAAAGAAAGTAGAAAGTAAGAAAGAGAGACACACATGACGAATTTAATTTTATAAAGAGCTTTCTACTTATTTTTCTCCCTAAGACGATATATTATCATAGTTGTCAAATATTCAAGCTTTAAGTAGACCACAACATCTCCTGTAAACAAAATCGGTGCTAGTTTGTAAGTATGTAAGTAAGTAGTACTACATAAGAGAGGTAGGTAGGTAGGTAGATTAACCAATTTTACGCAGTCTGGTAGTCGGTTTAGGCCTCATGATGGGTCTGGGGTTAGTACTTACGTTTGCAGACGCTATCCGAGCAGTATGTGTTGGTCGGACAGTCGCCGGTAACCTGACAGGGAACGGGCAACGGCTTACAGCCGGCCACCCGGTCAGCGGGTTGGCCGTCGTAGCCGCTGCGGCATGCACACTGCGCCACATGACCCTTCGGAACACATTCCGCATTGGGGCCACATTGCAGCTGGGCACAGACATCGCGGCACTTGGCCACCCCGTTTGTTTTGGTGCATGCAGCGTGCGGGGGACAGTCCTCGTTGGTCTCGCACTCCACGGAGCTGCGACAGCCCTCGTTGTACGGATCACCAACGAGTCCCGTGGGACAGGTGCATTTGTACGACCCCCTCGCGTTCCGGCAACGGGCTCCGGGTCCGCACGGAGCGTCACGGCAAAAGTCGATAACATCGCAACGAACACGCGGATCACCACTGAAACCAGGTTGGCAGTGGCACACTTGCTGGTGGTGTTCCGTGGTGCAGAGAGCATTCTCTCCGCACGGCTGTCCAATAAGGCAGGCAATCTTGCACATGTGGTTGTCGCAGCTCTTGTCATTGGAGCAATCGTCATCGGTGGTGCATTCGATCTTTCGGCATCCCGACCGGGCGTCTCCAAAGAATCCATCCTTGCAAACACAATCGGGGGCATGAGAACGGGCCACACATTCTGCATTTCTGCCACAGGCGGCGCGACCCAAACACACGGACTCACACCTGGCACGGCCGTAGGCATCACTCAGGCAGGTCTCGTCCTCGCCACAATCTCCGTTCGATTGGCACTCTAGCTCCTTGGTGCAGATGTTATTCGAGCAGAACTGGAACTGGGGACAAGTGGAGTTCGATTTGCAGGTTCCCTGACAGACGCCCTGCAAGCACAACTGTTCCGAGATACAATCCCGATTGGTGCTGCACAGAGGACTGCAGATGCCGTGGGAGCAGATGCTACCCTGGGCGCATTGTTCATCCTGTTGGCAGTATTGCAACGGCACACATCCCAGCTTGGCATCTCCGGTACTTCCCGACTCACAGGAGCAGACTCCGATGTGGTTCTGCACCGAGCAACGGGCCTGAGCTCCACAGGCATTCGGCAGGGAGCAGGGATCTATACACTTTGCGTCCAAGCAGGCCTTATCTCCGGAGCAATCGTCATTATCCGAACACTCAATGTGAATACATTCAACGGTGGGATCTCCGCGAGAACTAATGGGACATGTGCAAACCGCTTGATGGGCCTGAGCCTGGCAGTTGGCATTCAATCCGCAGGCATTCTGACGTTCGCAAGGACTGCGGCATCGGGAGTTCTGGCAACTGGCCGAAACCGGGCAGTCCGCATCACTGAGACACTCGCTGGGGTCGCGGCAACCGGCTTGTAGCGGATCTCCAATCAATCCTTCGGGGCACTGGCAGTTGTAGCTTCCTGGTAAATTGTTGCAGAAGGCGGTGCTGTGGCAAGGCTTGGAGAGACACTCGTTGATGTCCTCGCATCCGCCGTTGTTGACCAACTGGTATCCTTCGTAGCAGGCACAGACGGCCTTGTGGTCCTCAACATGGCAATTACCCTTGCCGCAACTAGTCAGGTCACAGGGCTTAATGCAGCGATTGGTTTCCGCATCGCAGGCACGATCTCCGGCACAATCCTCGTGATCAATGCATTCAACCTTAAAGCATCCCACGCCGGTATCGTTGGGATCACCCAAATATCCTCCGGGACAGCTGCACAAAGCCTCGTGTCCCTCCGCTTGGCATTGAGCATTGGCTCCGCAAACAGTGTGCGCGCAGGGATCAGTGCACTTGCCATGGATGCAGGCCAAGTTATTGGAGCAATCATCTGATTTGTGGCACAGTCCGGATTTGGAGCATCCCTGTTGCTGGGCATAGCCGTCGCCGACAGTTCCCTCGGGGCAAACGCACCGATAAGATCCGGGGATATTCTCACATACAGCGCTGGCATGGCAAGGTTTTTCAGTACATTCGTCAATGTCCGAGCAGCCGAAGGGTGTTCCTATGAAGCCAGTGGCACACTTGCACTTTCCGGTGAGGCACAATTCGGTGGGCGGGCAATCGGCATCAGATTCACAGCCTGGCTGGCATGTCCTATCCGAGTTACAGATCTCGCCGGCCAAACAGTTGTTGCTCGTGTAGCAAACCTTGCGACAAACCTGTTGATAGCAACGTTCTCCGATGGCACAGGCCGAGGTCTTGGTGCACGGCAGATTGCATTGATTGCCGATGCACATGTGTCCGTTGGGGCATTGATTGCTTGCTAGGCAGGGAGCCGGCACTCGCACACATCCTTGTTCAGGTGTGGGGTTTCCTTCGAAGCCCTCTGGGCAACTGCATTGGCTTCGATGCTGGGCAATGCTGCAGAGGGCATTGGGGCCACAGCTGCTGCCCGACTGGCAGGGATTCAGGCACTTGTTCTCAATACAGGACTGATCCTGCTTGCATTCCTTGTTGCTGCGACAGCCGATGGTGCAGTGACCCTCCACGCAGGCTAAGCCACTGGTGCACTGGCTGTGATCCAGACAGGCAACCACGCAGACGTTGCTCTGGCAGCTCTCTCCATCGGAGCAGTCCTGCGAATTCCTGCAGGCAATGCGGCATTGTCCGTTGTAGCACAACTGTCCACCGCAGTCCACGTCTGTGAGACACTTGGACGGACTACGGGCACATCCATCCCGTGCCGTATCAGACACAGGTTGGAATCGCAGCGGGCAACTGCAGACAGGCTTTCTGTTGACCACCTTACACTCAGCATTGGCTCCGCAGGCATTGTCGCAGGGATTCTGGCATCTTCCTCCAGCGCAGATTGTGTTGGCGGGGCAATCAGCATCTCCATTGGGACACTGACCTTCAGGACGACATCCGCGCGTCTTGGGATCGCCTCCAAAGTGGGGCGGACACTTGCAGACAGGTCCTTCTGGGGTAACTTCGCAAATGGCCGAGGCGTGACAGGTTCCGGCAGCACATCCTCCTTGCTTTGTGCAAGCCACTTCTGGCAACGGGTCTCCCTTAAATCCCGGCGGACACTGGCAAACGGCCCGATGATCTTCAGCCAGACAGATGGCATTTTCGCCACAAGACTCCTCGTCGCACACATCGTAACAGGTATGGGTCATTCGGTTACACATCTGACTGGGTGGGCAGTCGTGATTATACACACACGGGACACTCTGGCAGCCATTGAAAGGATCGTACGGATCTCCGGCAAATGGTCCAGGGGGACACTGACACTGCGCCTGATGGTTGTTGGTTATGCAAACGGCACGGGGTCCGCACTTCACGGTATCGCAGGCAGCACGGCAGCCAAGCGTTTGAGTGTTCTCATCCTTGATACAAGCCTCTGACTCCTGGCACTCGGCATGGTTCTTGCACTGATGCTTTACAGCTGGCTGGCAGCCATTTCTATCGTTCGGATTACCCACGAAGTTGGGCAGACAGTCACAACGTCCCTGGTGCTGACGAGCCACGCACACCGAATTGGCCGGACACGTGAAGGCGTCGCAGATGGCGACGCACTTGAGCACACCCAAGACATCCGGACGACAAGCGGAGGCATCGGGACAGTTGGCATCACTGGTGCAGTCCGGCAGCGAAGGCTTCTCGCATGAGGAGACAACTGGGTTCCACACATAGCTCTCGGCACAGTTGCAAATCGCATGTCCAGCTGGGTTTATCTTGCACAGCTCATTGGGTCCGCAGACAACATTGGAGCACAAGTTAATGCACTCTCGGCCGCCATGTCCGCCTGCCATCTGACATCCATATCCTCGCTCACAGTCCTTATCCGATTTGCATTTATCCTCCTCTTCCACTGGAACCTTTCTCTCCGGCTGACATCCAACTTGCAGGTTGCTTGGGTTCCCAAAGTAACCATCCGAACAGATGCAGGAAGAACGATGGTCATCCGCTACGCAGAGAGCATTGGGTCCACACTGAATCTTGGAGCAGGCGTCAACGCACTTGCGCAGTCCCTTGCCCAGCTGGAAGCAGATTTCCGAGTGCCGGCAGTCGGCATCGTTGCCACACTGGCCGCGAATGCTGCAACCATTAATCAGATCCTTCGGATCCCCAACGTAGCCCATCGGGCAGATGCACTTCCCGGCATCGCAAATAGCTCGTGGGCCACATGACGCCTGGGAGCAGAGGTTCTTGCATTGACCCTTCTGACAGCTGTAGCCATCGGGACACTCAACACGCTCATTGCACTGACACTTGCTGGCATCCTGGCAGAAACGGCTCTCGATGGGCTGACAGCTACTGTACGGATTGCCGGCATGACCCGACAGGCAAAGGCACTCGAATCCTCCGGCTGTATTCAGACAAGCCGCGTTCAGACCACATGGCTTATTGGTGCACTCATCCACATCCTGGCAGCCAATATAGGGATTGCCACTGAAGCCCTGCGGGCACAGGCAGGAGATGCGGTCTCCCACAGCTCGGCATTCGGCATGGGGTCCACAGCTATTCGGTTGGCAAACGTTCTTGCTCTGTGCTCCGCATCCCTCGTAGGGATTGCCAAAGGTGCCAGGATTACAGGCACATCGGCTCTGGCCCAGACCGTATTCGCAATGAGCATTCTCACCACAAACCGGCGAGCATATGGCTTGCACTATTGGCGGCATACAGAGCAGGTCGGGATTTCCCACAAAGTTCGGTTCGCAGACACATTTTCCATTATTTCTATCACAGGTGGCGCCGATGCCACAGACAACGCCTTCGCAGCGCTCCTTGCATCTGCCATTAATGCATATCTGTCGTTCACCGCAAGGTCTGGAGGCCGTGCACTGATCCGTGCTGCAACTACCGCCGGGGAAGGGATTACCCAGCTGTCCTTGTGGGCACTTGCAGGTCGGTCCCTCGCTGGTGGGAATGCAGAGAGCTCCCTCGCCACAGATCACATCCTGGCACTGGGATACGCAATCACCGTCGCCGTTCTTCACAAAGCCCACGCGACAGCGACACCATCCCGCATGTTGCTCCGTCTCACAATAGGCATTGGATCCACACAGGAGACTGATGCACGGGCTAACGCAGCTGCCATCCAAGCAGGCCAGATTACTGGCGCAATCATCGTTGCTTAGACACTTGCTCTTCGGTGTACCGGTCTCCAGGATGCATCCGCTCTTGTACGGATCTCCGGTAAAGCCCTTGGGGCACACGCACTGGTAACCGCCCTTCTTGTTCACACAATAGGCGCCATAGCCACATGGAAGGTGGGCACACTCGTCCTCGTCCGTGCAACCCAGGAGGGGATCTCCCTTGAAGCCAGCCTCGCACATACACTGTGGTGGATCCGATGGCGTGCACTTGGCATTAATGCCGCACGGGAAACGTTCACAGGGACTCTTGCACTTGTTGTTATCCTGCGGATCCAGGAAGTAAGGAGGCGGGCATACACACTCTCCGGGCTGGATGCATTTCTCGTTGCTCGAACACTCCTTGTCGGCAGCGCACTTACGTTGAGCCGGGGCACAGAGTCCATTGTAGGCATCGCCAAGGTAACCCTCCGGACAGTGGCAACTATAGCCTCCTTGTGTGTTCACGCACTGAGCTCCAAATGAGCATAGTTGCGCTCCTCCACGTTCCTCACATTCATTGACGTCGGCACAGCTGCCATCTGGTTGGGTCTGATAGCCCTTGGGACAGGCACAGTAACTGACACCTCCCGCTATGGAGATGCATTCCGCTCCACTGGGACAGGCCTGACCGTTGGAGCAGCCCGCCAGAACACAACTGTTGCCTAAGAGCTTATATGGCGGCTGACATTGACACTCCGGTGTGTTGCAGATCTCGCACATGATGAACGGATTGCCTGTGTGTCCTTGGGGACAGCGGCACTCGTAGCTACCGGGCAAATTCTTGCAGAGAGCATTCAGACCACATGCAGGCTTTCCCCTCTGGGCAGAACACTCATCCACATCTTGGCACTGTCCGTTCTCCGGATTCCGTTCATAGCCCTGCCGGCAAATGCAAACACTGTTGCCGGTGTAGGAATCTTGGACGCAGCTTTCGCCTGTCGCACAGGGATTTGCATCGGAGCAACCCACGGTTTTCGAAGTAATGCAGCCATCTCGATATGGATCTCCACTGGAACCGCCTGGGCACTGGCACAGGTAACCGCCAGCTGTGTTGGTGCAAATGGCCTTCTCGGCACAGGGATTAGCCCTCGAGCACTCGTCGATATCATTGCAGCCTCCCGGGAGAGCTGCATTTCCAGTGTACCCGGGAGCACACAGGCACTGAGCCTGTCCGTTGGCCAACATGCACTGGGCATGGGCACCGCAGTCTTGCGCTTCACACGGATGACGGCAATCATTACCAATATTTGGTTCGGGACACAGACAACGTTTGGTCTCATCACAAATGGCGTTGCCAGGACAATCCTCGTTGACGGAGCAGCTCACAATGGGCACGCATCGTACACTGGGATCCGGGTCGGCGATGGTATTCTCAGGGCAGCGACAAGTGTAACCGCCGCCGGCCATGTTTACACACTCAGCTCCAGCTCCACATTTGCTGGCACCTGATCGGCACTCGTCCACATCCACGCACTTGGAGTGAGGATCACCCGAGTAGCCGGGCGGACAGGCGCACGTGTAGCCTCCGGCGTTGTTCGTGCATGTGGCATTCTGACCACAGCTTCCGAATGGTCCATGCAACACATCACATTCATCAATATCCACGCAGCCCGCTGAAACATCACTGGGGTTATATGTCCAACCCTCCTCACACACGCAATAGGCTTCATTCTGATCGGGTTTGCAGTAGGCGTGGTCTCCACACCGTACATCTTCGCAGGGCTGCTTGCAGGGCATCCTTGGGGGACTGCCCACATAGCCAGCCTCACATTCACAGGTATGCGATCCGGGTGTGTTCAGGCACTGTGAGTGGGGACCACAGACGTCCGCATGGGTGCGGCACTCGTCGATATCCACACAGCTGGCTCCAATGGGCTCAAAGCCATCCAAACAGAAGCACTGATTCTCAATACACTCCGCATTGTTGGTGCAATCAAAGTTGCTGGTGCAGAGAATGTTGACATCCACTTGTTCGCAGGCCACTTTGGGATCAGGTTTCCCATCGTAGCCCTGCGGGCACTTGCAATTGTATCCTGGTGAGGCATTTTCGCAAACGGCATGCTGTCCACATGGCTTATCCAAGGCCGTACATTCGTCAATGTCCACACATCCACGGAACGGATCCCCCGTATAGTCCGGCTTGCACGAGCACACGAAGCTGCCGACGGTATCCGTGCAGATAGCGTTCTCCCCACACGGATTATCCTGACACTCGTTGATGTCTACGCGATTTCCGATCGGTGCAGGGACAGGGGTGATGATTGAGAAGGGGGCAGGCAACGCGTGTTGGCGGGTTGTGGGTTGAGTTAAATATATATATTAAAATTAATTCAATTAGTATGCAAAACAATACGGAATTGGATGGAAGGTGAGGGAGCATAGCGTGAAGTGGGGGAGCGGGAACGGGTGGGTAGATAAATATAAGGTATAGAATACATAGAATATAGAATATAGAACGGTGGGACTACTGGGGAGTACAATAGGAAGCTGTTGGGAAAGCATGCATCTGCTGGGGATGCAAATAAGCTAAGCTTAAAGCTTGCAAAACAGCTGGAAGGACACATATAGCGGGTGGTGGATAGCAAAGGATAGAGCAAACACAAAACTGGCAGATCCTTGAAGGTCATAGAGAGAGGATTTGCCAGCTTTGAGTGCTATAAACTTGTCCAGAGCTCTCTATTCGGTTTACTTGATTAATCAATCTTTCCAAATTATAGAAATTCTTTTGAAATTCACGAATATAGAGCTCTGGCAAAAGGCATTAAGCAGGCAGGATACTAACTCTCGCAGTGCAAATAGCCCTGTCCTTGGAATCCGCTTGGACACAAGCATCGATACGAGCCGGGAAAGTTAATGCATTTCGCGTTAGTGCCGCACTTGGCCACGCCATCCGGCTGATTGCACTCATCAATGTCCAGGCAGGCCAGGCCGGCGCCCGAGGTCCTTTGGTAGGGCACAATGTCCGTCGCCCCCGGCCCGTAACCAAGTTGCTGTTGGGGCAATTGATCCGCATGCGGATCATGCTCAAGGACAAAGCCGAGGGGACAGCGACATTGAAAGCTACCGCCCATGTTCACGCATTCAGCACCCAAACCGCATGGATTGTTAGTGGCGCATTCATCGACATCTGCCGGCGTTAGGCATTAATTTTTGTATTAATGTTGCATGTTGCGGTGCAATAATGTACGAGTATAAATTGTATATGTGTGTGTGTGGGTTTTGGTATTTTGAAGGTGCCGCCAATTCAAATTTAGCCAAATAAAATTGTGCAAAAAAACAACCAAAATGAAACAATGTCAAATCGAATGAAGTAATCTTAAAGCTAATGTAAACTCACCCTCGCATCCGTGCATGGGATCACCGCTGTATCCATCCGGACACAGGCAGCGAAAACTGCCCTCCGTATTCAAACAGTCCGCATTCCGGCCGCATGGCGAACGGGCGCACTCGTCATGATCAACGCAACCGGACTCCGAGCGTCCATCTCCATCGTATCCCGGCGGGCAGTCGCAGCGATGACTGCCCTCGAGATTCGTACATATGGCACCGGGTCCGCAGACATTCGGATACGAGCACTCGTCCACATCCTGGCAACCCTCTCGATACGGATTGTTGCCCACAAAGCCCTCCGGGCACGAGCATGTATAGTTGCCCGGCGTATTGGTGCACAGGGCATTGGGACCGCAATTCTCCGGATTGCGGCACTCATCGACATCTGTGCAGAGTACTTCGCCATCGCCCTCAAAGCCGTCCTTGCACTTGCAAAGGAAATGCGCCGGCAGATTGCAACACTCGGCATTCTCCACGCATCTTGCTGCTATCGCGGGATCTTGGCATTCGTCAACGTCTGTGGAGCAAGAGGAGGAGCAAGAGGAGGAGGTTTGATTAATCGATTGTGCCATGCAACAAATGACAAGTAATTAAAATCTAAACGCAGAGCGATTAATATCCACCTTCGGAAGAACACAGAGAGAAATCCATGACTATAAGCACATAAAAACTTGTATCAAAGCTATAATAGGAATTAAAACTTTATGTACCCTCTATAGATATCTTGACTGTTACTTATTCGTTGCGTGTATCCTACTGTTCCCCCCAACAGCCACATTGGCCAGTGTCCAAGCTCAACCTCATTCTAGGAGCTCTACGCATTTTGCCGCTTGAATGCGCTTTGCTCGCTTTGTGGCCACAAACTTGGAGTTGGAGTTGGACTTGGAGCCGCAGTTGCAGTTGCAGTTTGCAATGGATGCATCCGAGATTTGCATGTTACGCATGACATTTCAGTGTCATTTCAGCGGCGTGGCAGCCACGTTGCCAGCAATGTCACAGCACAGGATGCACCAGTTGCATACGCTTTGCATACCAATTGGCTGTGTGGTCAATGTTAATGGTATTTGGTATTCTGTAGTTTCGGAAATCCATATAGTGGTTTTTGCGAGGTTTGTTTTCAACAAAATAAATTAAAAATCCATCAATACAAATAGTTATAAAGGCTGCAGTTAGTCTTCAGTAAGTAAATATGATCAGTTATTAACTATGATCAGTAAGTATCTATGACCAGTAAGTAACTCTGAACATTAACTAACTCTGAACACTAATTAACTATGAGCAGTTATTAACACTTAACAGAAAGCAAGTATGACCAGAAAGAATCTATAATCAGTAAGTATGTATGATCAGTTACTAACTTTGAACACTAGTAAACAATGACTTGCAACTTTTGTAACAACACATTTCTAAGACGTGGCCAGCTGCAGGCACTTCGTTCCGGGGATGTTTGAACCAGTTGGGAATCATATGCACAGATGTGCGAGATTTGTTTTGGAACAAATTTAAGCTATTTGAGTAAAACTATGAAGTTATTCTTATATATAATTTGACTAGTGTATAAGTCGGAGCATGGCGAATCGGTGGACTATATGTATACATATATACATCTGACATAGGAACAATCGGATGATTTATACAACTATGATCGGTAATTAACTTTATTAGTGAGTAGCTCTGATCATTAAGTATCTATGAACATTAAGTAACTCCGAACAGTAAGTAACTAAATATTCTTATTAAGTAACTACGATCAGTAAGTATCAATGAACATGAAATAACTCTCGACATTAAGTATCAATGAACATTAAGTAACACTGATCAGTAAGTATCTATAACCAGTAATTATGTATAATCAGTTACTAACTTTGAACACTAGTAAACAATGACTTGCAACTTTTGTAGCACAACACATTTCTGATACTTGGCCAGCTGCAGGCACTTCGTTCCGGGGATGCTTGAACTAGTTGGGAATCATATGCACAGATGTGCGAGATTTGTTTTGGAACAAATTTAAGCTATTTGAGTAAAACTATGAAGTTATTCTTATATATAATTTGACTAGTGTATAAGTCGGAGCATGGCGAATCGGTGGACTATATGTATACATATATATATCTGACATAGGAACAATCGGATGATTTATACAACTATGATCGGTAATTAACTTTATTAGTGAGTAGCTCTGATCATTAAGTATCTATGAACATTAAGTAACTCCGAACAGTAAGTAACTAAATATTCTTATTAAGTAACACTGATCAGTAAGTATCTATAACCAGTAATTATGTATAATCAGTTACTAACTTTGAACACTAATAAACAATGACTTGCAACTTTTGTAACACAACACATTTCTGAGACGTGGCCAGCTGCAGGCACTTCGTTCCGGGGATGTTTGAACCAGTTGGGAATCATATGCACAGATGTGCGAGATTTGTTTTGGAACAAATTTAAGCTATTTGAATGAAACTATGCTGTTATTTTTCTATATAATTTTACTAGTGTATAAGTCGGAGCATGGCGAATCGGTGGACTATATATATACATATATATATCTGACATAGGAACAATCGGATGATTTATACAACTATGATCGGTGATTAACTTTATTAGTGAGTAGCTCTGATCATTAAGTATCTATGAAAATTAAGTAACTCCGAACAGTAAGTAACTAAATATTCTTATTAAGTAACTACGATCAGTAAGTATCAATGAACATGAAATAACTCTCGACATTAAGTATCAATGAACATTAAGTAACACTGATCAGTAAGTATCTATGACCAGTAATTATGTATAATCAGTTACTAACTTTGAACACTAGTAAACAATGACTTGCAACTTTTGTAGCACAACACATTTCTGATACTTGGCCAGCTGCAGGCACTTCGTTCCGGGGATGTTTGAACCAGTCAGATGTGCGAGATTTGTTTTGGAAGAAACTTAAGCTATTTGAGTAAAACTATGAAGTTATTCTTATATATAATTTTACTAGTGTATAAGTCGGAGCATGGAGAATCGGTGGACTATATATATACAAATATATAGCTGACATAGGAACAATCGGATGATTTATACAACTATGATCAGTAATTAACTATGATCAGTAAGTGACTCTGAACATTAAGTATCTATGAACATTAAGTAACTCTGAACAGTAAGTAACTAAATATTCTTATAAAATAACTACGATCAGTAAGTATCAATTAACATGAAATAACTCTCGACATTAAGTATCAATAAACATTAAGTAACACTGATCAGTAAGTATCTATGACCAGTAATTATGTATGATCAGTTACTAACTTTGAACACTAATAAACAATGACTTGCAACTTTTGTAACACAACACATTTCTAAGACGTGGCCAGCTGCAGGCACTTCGTTCCGGGGATGTTTGAACCAGTTGGGAATCATATGCACAGATGTGCTAGATTTGTTTTGGAACAAATTTAAGCTATTTGAGTAAAACTATGAAGTTATTCTTATATATAATTTTACTAGTGTATAAGTCGGAGCATGGAGAATCGGTGGACTATATATATACAAATATATAGCTGACATAGGAACAATCGGATGATTTATACAACTATGATCAGTAATTAACTATGATCAGTAAGTGACTCTGAACATTAAGTATCTATGAACATTAAGTAACTCTGAACAGTAAGTAACTAAATATTCTTATAAAATAACTACGATCAGTAAGTATCAATTAACATGAAATAACTCTCGACATTAAGTATCAATAAACATTAAGTAACACTGATCAGTAAGTATCTATGACCAGTAATTATGTATGATCAGTTACTAACTTTGAACACTAATAAACAATGACTTGCAACTTTTGTACCACAACACATTTCCGAGACGTGGCCGGCTGCAGGCACTTCGTTCCGGGGATGTTTGAACAAGTTGGGAATCATATGCACAGATGTGCGAGATTTGTTTTGGAACAAATTTAAGCTATTTGAATAAAACTATGAAGTTATTCGTCTACATAATTTAACTTGTATATAAGTCGGAGTATGGCGATTCGGTGGACTATATATATATGTACATATAATAGCTGATATAGGAACGATCGCACGATTTATGGAACTATACTCAGTAATTAACAATGACCAGTAAGTAACTATGAGCAGTAAGTAACTCTGAACACTAAGTATCTATGACCATTTAGTAACTTTGAGCAGTAAGTAACTCTGAAAACTAAGTATCGATGACCAGTAAGTAACTATGATCACTAAGTATCTAAAACCAGTAAGTATGTGTCATCAGTTACTAATTTTGAACACTAATAAATAATGACTTGCAACTTTTGTACCACAACACATTTCTGAGACGTGGCCGGCTGCAGGCACTTCGTTCCGGGGATGTTTGAACCAGTTGGGAATCATATGCACAGATGTGCGAGATTTGTTTTGGAACAAATTTAAGCTATTTGAATAAAACTATAGAGTTATTCTTCTTTATTATTTTACTAGTGTATAAGTCTGAGCCTGGCGAATCGGTGAACTATATATATATATATATAGTTATATATATAAATATATATAAGTGGCCATAGGAACGAGCGGAAAATATTTTAGAAAAATCTTTATAACTTTTCCAGTTCTCAACAGATTTTCATCAAACTTGATATATAGCCATTAAATATTAATCTAGAACTTTGTGTAAAATTTTATGAAAATCGGACTACCACATAAATTTGCAAGATTATACAAACTTCGACGTGCCGAAGTTAGCTTCCCTTCTTGTTCTTGAATAAAATATTCCAAACATTAAACCTTTAATCCCAGCTAGCGCTCGACCTTCATGCATTCAAAAGAATTCTACAATTGCATAAGTCAGCCCATCTAACCTTTCAGCTAAGCCCAGCTCAATGGCTGTCTCTCTGTTTATGAATCTTAATCTAAAGCCCAGTTCAGGCGGAAGACTGACGGAGGATGAGCTTGGGATCAGGGCTTTCTGCTCCAATAGCGCGCAGCCGGGCATTGAGAATTCAATATTGCCCTCAGTCGGAGCCAATGAAGCGGCAATTCAGCTGGATGGGCATGGGGATGGGCATGATGGGAATGAAGGCATGGCCAGCCGCCGCTCCAGCGCAATCAGGGCCCATTAATCATTGGGCCAAGCGCACAGACTAAAGTTGTACATTTATGGCTAATATGACATAAGTACAAAAGTTGGCAAAAGCCAAAGACAAGGACCTGGCACTGGGCATGGAGGGACTCACTAGAGTGCCTTATAATTACAAGCAGAACGAGATGACCGGCAGGCTGGACGTTCAGTTATAATTACTAGTTTTTAGCTTATAAATTAAGAGGATCATCACTCTGGTGGCGGTGGTGCGGTGAGCGAAGAGCCACGAGGAGCACCGAAACTGGTATTTGCTCTTAACAACCAACAACTGATATGACAGCATTCCATGTTTGCCGGCATCACCGCCACGTTGCAATTGCAAACTCTGATTACTCAATGTCATCATCCTCGTCGGAGACTCGATCTCATGCCTGTCCTAGCTCTTTTCTCTGCGTCTCTCTATGTGTGTTTGTACCAGAAGCAGGAAGCATTCTGTGTTCTTCTAAGTTTCAATGTCGGTTTAATTACTTTATGCAATGCGACTGGCAAGACGACAGCACCACAAGACCAGACATCGTCTCGATCCTCGAGCTGGAAACCCAGGGCCATTGACCAAAGGCTGTCTAATGAACTTAGCACGGTTGCTGCATCTCCTGCCAGGACTGATATTCGTACAACTCGTGGAAGTGTTTAATTTAATAAGCTCTACCCTGAGATTTGACTTCTGTTCTCGCGAATTCCATATATATCTATTTTGGCAATAGGTAGGCGTTCCTTCTAGTATGGTTTTTCCCCCTTAGTTATCGGATTTGACCGCTTTAAAAGCAATCAAATATGCGTGACTCAATGTGATTAAGCCGAATGATTGCCTGAAATGATGCTGACATAATTCTCGTTGGCCGTCGTCTTCTTGGATTTCCTGTTCCTAACTTATGGTTCGAATGAGAGACATGCCTCAAGTGGCATTTTAAAAGGCAGTGATCGGGTCATTAAATACACACGAATGCAGGAAAAAATGGAAATGCTTAGATCTTTCTAATAACTATACTTTAAATACGAACTTTGGTTCTTTTTCGCCTGATGAATTTCGCATTTCCTGACTGTCCATATATAATTATTAATATATTATTTGTCTGCCGAACCAACCTTTGTGCAGCTCTTTCGACTGCAATTACAACTAATTATCAAAGCACTTGAAAAGGAGAAACTAATCTATATCTAGTCTCGTCTGGCTGGCGTCTATCTAATAAATTGTGTAATTGCTGAACTAGACTAATTAGCATTTGGCGCACTAGTTGCATTTGTGGGTTTCCATTTGAATTATGACATTCGTGCCATGATTTCGCCTGCATCCATGTATACATATATATATATAATATATAGAAGAGATACAAATTTACGAGCGGACACGACTTTCATGCTCCACTGCCGCGCGATGATTAGCAGGTCGAATAAATAACAATAAACCAGAGAGCTCAAAGCCAAAACAAACAGTTGAACTTGAACTCGGACTACAAAATAGTAAATATACATAAGTAGCTCTGGTAATAAAGAAAACCAAAATTAGTTAACAATTTGTTACGCAATTATGTGTCTAGTTTTTATGCCATGCTATGAAGTATGCTTCTCTAAGATCAAGGTCGTAGCCCGGCAAAGTGATGTCAGCCAAAAGCCGGATCCGGGCCAAAGCAAAGCTAAAGCCGAGCCATGGGTGGCAGCTTTTCCTGGGGCGAAGCCGCCGCCGCCCCTCATTTGTGCGTAAATGTGGCAACACATATAATTAGGCGTGTCAATGCCGACGCTTAAAGCCATTTTCATGCCTTATCAGTGCCGGTTTGGACAACAAAATTAATTGCTGCCATTTTGATATGCAAAAGTGCAAAGTATCTGGCAAAAAAAGAGGAACGTTTCAACTACAAAAGGAATTAAAATAAGGGAGGAGTCTCCCTGCAATGCATGAAGCCGAAAAGGAAAACCAAGCTGGAAATACCCTAACAGATTCCAAGTTCTTAAAGTTAATGCTTGGAGAACTTTATCAGTATATCAATTAGTTATGACTAACCAGTATTTGTTTTCTTAAAAAAAAGCCGCCGAATTTATATTTTTATTTAAACCAAGTATGCAAAGATAGATACTCTCTTATGAAGGGTATTCGAAAATGGGACGAACAACTGGCCAAGCTTATCAACTGACGTTGATCTCCAACTGGTGCGTCGACCGGCAACAAGACGGCGGATTGAAGTTGGTGTCGGTTTCGGCTTTGGCTTTCGGAAACGGGAGACGGAGACAGAGATGGAGCTGTACTCGAAGTTGGAGTTGGGAGTTGGGAGTTGGAGGCAGTGCCGTTTGAGGACAGGCGGCATTAAGCGCCAACAACGCTACCGCCTCGATCTCCAAGAGCCGAAGCCGAAGCTGGAGAGCTGTGACGGCGTTGCCTACGTGGGCACAATCTATTTTATCCGTTTTAATGATCTGCCCCAGTTAGCGAAACGAAAGGGAGCAGGCCTGGTGAACGTGCCTGGCCAAGTTGGAGACCGGAGCGGACCAGTTGCCAACATTTATTGGAGTCTTTTTGCGCCTCGCGCCTCGCGCCTTGTTGTTGCCTTTTGGCGCTGGCCAAGTGGAAATAAATTTTAGCACTCAACTGGAGAGACTCACTCCATTTGTTGCATTAGAAGGATCGATAGCTCAAAATCCCACACTCTCTCTCATTTTTCAATAGTCATTGCATAACTGGACTTTTGCGATGCGTTAACGAAGCCATCGCAAGGCATCCACATCGAACGCGTTTGAGTTATGAACATGAAATAATGCGCCATCGGAGTCTAAAACAGGTGTTTGCCACACAACCACCGTTAGGTGCATGAAAAAGGCCAAAGAGAAGCAGGAAAACAGGTAGATATATATCTATATATATATGTACTTGCACCTCGGATACATACGCAAAATGTGTCTCTAAGCCAAGAGCAGACGACAGTGTGTGATTTGTTGCAAAGTTTATTGGGTGAACTTGATGCAGAAACTGGATTTACATAACACACTGGAGGCAACGATGTAAAAATTGTGTGTTTGAAGGATGTGATCAAGACATTGGGGTCCCTCCCATCAAGGCGGAAATTTACTTCAAAAAGAGAGATTTAAGGCTCAAACGGAAATGGTTTTATTACTTGGCCAGGACTTGACGATGGCCTATTTCTGTTGGTCAATAAATATCTTGAATGGAATGTTCGGAAGTACTATTTCTATACTTTTTTTAAAGTCATAATTTCCATTAAACAAACAATGTTTCCTAGTAATATATTCCCTTCCATTACAACAAGACAAGCTAATCTACCATCTGATAATCCTTAATGAATTCACCTTCTTGTACATATTATAATTTATAGAGAAATTATGCAAACAGCTACTGATCAACATTTAATTGTGTGTGTTTAAAAGCACTTGGCCTGGGAAACGGAGGAGTGCGTGTATATGCCCCTGATGGAGATTCTAACTACACACTGGAGAGACTTTCTCATCACATTTCCAAACTAATTCAGATGATTACAGACAATTGCGAGGTTCTGGATGGCTCTGTGCAAGGGCCCTGGGCAACATGGAGAACGCAATCATGGCATCGTGAAAAATATGTGAAAAAAAAATAAAATTTCTATAGAAAAGAATTAGATAATGCGACTGAAATGCGATGCTGGCGTTACACGTCGCTGCTCAGAATTTATGCATGCCTGACGCTGGGATGGATGATACCCGGGACGGGACGTCGTCGTCACATGTAATCTAGAATCTTGGCAACGTCTTCATACTTAGTGGGGTAATGCCAGGAGAGAGACAGAGGGACTCTGTGAAATTTGCGCTCGTTATCGCATCGCATCGAATGCAGGTGGCGGGGCGTGGCAGTGGCCTCACCATCATCCTCCTTCTACTCCTCGAGAGTGTTGAAAGTTCTGGCGTGTCCATGTTCGGGGTCAGATTACATGACACTGATTCCGCGTCTAACAGACACAGCCACGATGTGTTGCATGGCGCGAAAGCATTGCTGCAACAAATGTGCTGTGTCTGTGGCTTTTTATTGTTCGTTTCCCCCGGATTCAGCCGCATCATTATCATCCCCATCATCATCATCATCATCTATAAAGAATAGACTCTCGAGTTGAACTACTTGCTAACGCTAACCTCTTCGTACACTCTCCCAGTTATTACCGCTGTGGTTCTTCTTGTTTTCGATTCGTTCTTCTTTGGGTTTTCCTTATTCTTTTCTTTTTTGTGATGCCATAATGTGTTTTTATTACGTAACATTAGCTGAAGTCCAATTATACCAGCCGGTTTGTCACTGTCATATACCCAATCCCGGACTAGCATCATGTGGGGGAAACAGGTGCTCCCAGCACCCAGAATCCAGAACCCAGCACCCAGAAGAGAGAGAGTTCTATCTTTTTACTGGCCCCCTGCTGAGCGGCACTTAGGCTAACGAGCAAATGGTACCGACCCCGGGATCGAAACTGTAGCAGTAGATCGGCGGAAACTGATTGAGATATTTCGAAATTCGTTTGGCCAGGGCTCCCAGATAGCTTCAGTCTGGCATTAGAGATTTGCTGCCCATGGCTCTCTTCGCTAGCATTGCTCTAGCACTCAAGTGTAATCGCTACACGGTCATTATTATTACCTCGCAGATAAGTATTACTCCTATTCTTTGCTGAGAAAGCTTTCATATTATTGTCTGGCGCGTCTTTTGTTACATTTTCAGCTCTGGAGGCTGGAATGGCACAAACCGTTAGGTCTAGGGTACAAAACGACCCAAGAGAGACGTTGACGGAAGTACAAAACGGCAAACAACAATCATCTGTACTCGGCTTGGTTGGCTGGTCAGTCATTATGCTAATTAATACAAAGAAACTAAAACGGAGGCTGTGCCGACTAAGGTTACAGAGAGAGAAACTAAACTAACTAAAGAACAGATTAACTATTTCACGAAGGGAGTTTCCTAGGCCTTTTTCCTCTGTGTAGCACTTACCTTCACAATGGAAGCCATTGCCACGATAGCCCGGGAAGCAGGTACACGTGAAGCTGCCCAGTGTGTTTGTGCAATGGGCGAACACATCGCACGGACGCTGTTTGCATTCGTTCTCATCTGTAACGCAGGGAATAGTAAAGGTTTTTGTTAACGGGTTTTTTATCTTTCTTTGTTATGTAAGCCACCATCTTAGACTCACCTTTGTCCACGCAATTGCAGCCACCGTAGCCGTCATTGCAATGGCAGACGCCGTTCAAACACGCGCCATGTGTGCACTGAGTGCCATCCTTATCACAGTCATCTGCAGAACATTATATATATACAAAAATACATTAGATCATCATCCAAAACCCCTTTAAAGAGGTTCACCCGACTGCTTTGATACTCACTTGTGCATTTGAGCTCTTTGCTCAGCTCATCGGAACCCAGATAACAATCCTGGGTGCCGTCGCATAGTTTCGATAGTTCGTATAGCTGCAAATAGTCGGTGGACTCGTTGACCTGGCAGCCAAAGTAGCCATCCTCGAGGTTTAGATAGAAGACCTCGCCGCGAAACCGACTATTCGCCCTCAAGTTTGTCTTGAATGGTTGCGGTTGTTGTGTATATTGTGAATGTACCTGTAAGTTACACAAAGGAAAGGGATTAGTTGAATGCATAAACAATTAATTAAGTGAATTTTATGCTTACTATAACAGCTTATTAAGGTACCTAAATATGGCTCTGTGGCATGATTATTATTATGTACTGTACAGGAACTTTTGAGAGACTTACTTATTTCTAACTTATTAAGCAAATACCAAAGCAACCCTTTCCTAAAAACCCAACCTTCGCTGCAACCTCATTTCGTAGAGTATAGTTATAGTATTTAGGTAAAAACCCAAGCTGGTTTCGCTAAACTAATTTAAATTCAAATTAGATACAGCAAGCTTAGCAGGCGTAGCACCGGCAGCGCTTCTTCAGATTTCTCAACCCGTTGTGGTCCATATGGGCACGACCCGATACTACAGGTATACATATGTATATACTCTAAGACCGTCTACACTATATTGTGTTGCTTTGCCGCTGTTGCCGCCGTCGCCGCCACTTAATTGTTACACTTGGCTGATTTTACTTTTAGCAAAACAAAAGTTGTTTGCCGCTTGCCATATTTTCTTGGCCAAAACTTTGTGTGTATTTCTGTTGCCAACATTAGATAGCTTGGCTTTGGCTGAGGGGGAAACGAGTTTGTCACTTAAGACCTTTTTGTGCTCCAGCAAAAATGAATTAAAACTAGTTTGGCCCATACATGTATTGTATTTGTCGCATTGCTTGGTGTGTTATACATTTGCGATTGTACTTCTATTTTTGTAGCTTGTTCAATTTGACTTCCTACGCTCAAATATAGTTATTAAGTGGTTAGATCAGATTTGGAAAAGTCTGAAATACTTGTAAAACGAGATAAAGCTGGGTATGTTGGGATTTCGTGAATCAATAACAGAATCAAACGTCTTTTCTCATTATATAAGAATTTTGTTAGGAATTTTATAAGCTTCAGTTAAAAAAGTTACGATTTCTGTTAATAATATTTCTATAACAATCATTTTGTATTTAGATTTCTAGGTCTTTCATATGTGTGTCAGCTCTAACACATTTTTTTTCGATTCGTAACATCATCATCACTGGCTTCTTTCTCTACTTTAAATCTCAATTAATTCCGTGCAGAGTTCAGTATCTCAATTACCATGAAGCAACTCCTATTCAATTGCCAACTGTAGTGGAACTTGAAAATCCCAGCAAAATTTTCCCAGTTTCCTCATTTAAGGCCAATTTTCCTTTGCTTTTGTTTGTGGCTGGGGCGCCTAATGAGCTGAAGTGGAGGCCATAAAAAGCAAGTTAAATTGCTCTACGACCCCCAGCCGCGGAAGGTGCGAACATGAGGCACTGGCTGTCAAGTTCAAGTTTGCCGCGAATTGTTTTAGGCAGATTCTTATCGATGCCGCCGTCGTCGCTTGGGAGGAAGAGGAGGAGCACCCGCATGTGCTCCCTCTCGAGTTCTATGTGGCTTGGGGTTTTTTTTTTCAATTGTGTTTACTTTGTGCCCACTTCACGCCATGCAACGCTAACGGCCTTGCTAAACAATAGATTCCGCCGACGACGTCTCCAGCGAGTTTTATCAATTGACAGGCGGCACAATGAGCAGCAGCAGCATGCACTCGGCAGAGGCAACACCAACAGCAACAACAGCTAAAGCGATGCAACAATTAAAGGCGTGCGAGCAAAGATGTGCGAAGTGGATGTGGTGGATGCTGATGTTACTGATGCCTCTGCTGCTGCTGCTGCTGACGATGATGATGATAATGATGATGATGATGAGGATGATGCGACTGCTGAAATCTCCCATGACATTGAGCGGCTGCGCCAGGCGATGACTACAATGAGCAATTTTTCGTAGCTTCCAAGCTTGTTAACAGGCGCAATGACAACGTCAGACAGATGATGATGATGACGACGTTGCACGTCAACGCTCAAGTGCATATCCGTTATAACTGTCAATTGGCATTAACTCCTGCCATCGCACACTGCCAGAAATTAGTCCTGTCTCGAAGAGTATCATATTAACCAAGTTAAGCGAGGAATTGCTATAAGCATTATGATTTTTCCCTGGGAATTTAAGAGATTTTTTCAATAATCGGAAAGGATTTGGGTTTAAACATAAGAAAACATTATGTAAACTAGATATGGATATGTTTCTTATCGAAATTGTTGAGATTTTGAAAAGAATTATTCGTAAATTTAATATTATATCCCTAAAAAGTAAGGAACATTATATGATTTTAGATTTCTATTCCAAATATTTCCTTGAAATTACTACTTTCTCAATAAGCTATAATACTCGAAGAGTATCATATTAAAAAGGTTAGGCAACGACTTCCTGTAAGCTTTTTGATTTTCTCCTCAGAATTTATGAGATTTGTAAAAGAATAGGAAATTTTTTAGGTTTAAATGAAAGAAAACATTATGTTCACTAGATATTTTGAATATAAATATTTCTTAATTGCATATTATAAATAATACAATTTAGAAACATTATTTTGTACTGAATATTTTATATGATTTCAGATTTCTATCCCAAATATTTCCTTGAAATTACTACTTTCTCAATAAACTATAATACTAAGAAAATAAATTTAAACAATATCTATATTTATTGATATTTTGACAGCTTTAGTTTGCACGCTCTAATCCATCTGCCAATATTAGCTTGAGTCACACAAAAAATTAGCTAGCGAGCAAGTTCGTTGCCTCAGTCTTTTGTCTGTAAGCAAAACAAAAAACTCGGAGAACACACAATCAATTATAAAGGTATCTAGCTAATCAAATGAAATATGACTGCTAAGCATAAATCAAGTTCAGAACGCACAAAAGAAAGCACAAATCCATGAAAGGGGCAGGAGATAGAATGTCGCCGACAAAAACCACCACAAAAGGGGCTAGAAGGTGTCAATGAACTCAACCGGCTTTCGGCTTAGAGCAGACTTCATTCTCGTTGGCCAATTTCTCAAAGTTTCCCCCTCATTCACACACCGGACACTCGTCGAGTTCTCGCCGGTGACTGCATAAATCGATGACTATCAAAGCGTTTTTACAGCTAATGCGGCTATTTTTATTCATTACGTTGTTTTCTTTGCTTTCTTCCATCGATTGGGTCCGTTTGGTTTTGGCCAGTCGATGGTGCCTCTTGCTGGCCAGGTCTTCCGCCAGCCTAGTCATTACCAAAGCCCCTCTTTGCTGGCCGTTCTTTGCTTGGAGTTTCTTCTGTCAAATTATTTGCACAGCAAACTCTTTCGCTGAGGGTTTGCTCTCGCTTTGCTGGAGATATTTCACAGCTAGCTGTTAGGTTTAATAAATATGCTTATGCTATGGCCAAGTCATTTTGCAGTAATTTCTTTTTATGGCTCATTTGCATGAGACCTGGCCGAGGCCAGATACCGTTAGGTCATCAAAAGGTACCATCGCTATAATTTGTTCCCTGTATTATTTCTTTTTTTCGAACGAACAAATGTGTTTGTCCATCATTTTCGGGGTTTCGTTCTTTCACTTCTGGGATTCTCGGATTGGGATTCTTTTCTCCATTTGTTTATTATATTTATTTGTTTCGAAATTTGTTTCATAATGAGGTGGCAGCTCGTAAATTTAATCATATTTCTCTTCTTTTCAGCGGCGGGGCGTGAAAGGTTCTTTGTGCCGCGGCCTTTCGAGAAGCCATAAATTAATTATGACCCTCGTGTTAACTGTTGATGCCACAGTCAGTGATCTAATACCATCGATATTTACTTCAACTTAACACTAATTAACTTAATAACGTACAGGTTTATGGGGGTACTTACTGTACTCGAGAGTAGTAGCACTATCCACGTGACTAGTGGCAAAAATATTTTCATTTTTGCTGCAAAGAAAACAAAACAGAAGAAATCGCATATTAAAAACCATTGAAAAATCAATTAAAAACAGGTTAAGTAACATAAATATATACAATTACAAGTGGCCACCAATGGGTTGTTAAGGCGCTTTTCAGCTTAGGGATCAGAGCGCTCCCAGCGCAAAACAAATAAAAATAATTAACTTAAAAATGTTGAGCACGCACAAACAAAACCAAAATTGGCCCGGTCATCTTTCGGACAGGTGCCAAAAATAACAAAAGACAAAAAAAGAAGGAGAAACAAAAGACAAATGAGAAGATGGGTAAATGACACTTGAAATTTATGCGCAAACATGAGTCCCCGTCCCCGGACACAGGCTTATCGCTTCCTTTACCTTTTCCCTGAAATAAAAACAAAAAAAAAACTTATCCAACAACGGGACCGGCATAAAAATAGTGCCCAAGCGAACACCTTTTGGCAGAAACAGAAAATGTTTAGTGTAGTGTCCGCAATATTCATTGTTCGCTACCTGTTTGGCGATTTTCTCACGCATTTATTTTCCACTTTCAGTTTTTAGTTTTCAGCCTGCGACGACTGATTTTCATCAGACTTTGGCTTGCTAACTAGAAAAACAAAATAAAAGTAAAAAACTAACAAACACACGGGCATGGACCACCTGTTAATTGGGTAGAATGACAGAAAATTGTCCCGGGGTTTTTGGGATAACGTAATAATTATTTTGTGTGAAGTCCGATAGCATCTTTATATGGTAGGCGGTCGCTCTCATAATTATGACATAAGACGGAAATGGCCTGGGAAGAGGGCGTCACTTATGAAGAAACAAGTAAAGTGAGGTTTTTCTAGGAAATAACTTAATAGAATTACAAATATTTAGACAATCCTTTGAAAGTTTCACCCTAATTCCAATAGGGGAAAATAACTGTCAATAAAATTTAAATTGGAATACTTCCAGCCGCTTTCCAATAGGGAAAAGTCCAGCAGTGGAATAACAACCTCAAAAAAAAATTGCCCTTAAGGCAGTTTTTTTTACAAGGTAATATCGTCAATAGTTTAGATTTCCCGTCGCCTTATAAAGTTACCACTGTACAAATGGAAGGGGCGTGAACAAACAACTTTCTTAAGCCGCTGTGAATGTTTTTAACGCGTGTAAAAATATTTGCCATTATCTATCTCTGAAAGCCGAGACTGCAGTACATCGCCAACGGCTGGCCATAAAACCTTCAACGGGCTTTGGGTAAGGGAAAGGGAACAAGGAACACGGAATTGGGTTTCCCTTTGGACCACGATTTATCTATTTCGGTTTATCAGCTAATAAACGCTTAAATAAAATACACACTCTGAGCTAAATTACAGGAGGACGTCGGCGGCGGCCATGTTCCGAGGTTCCAGGGTTCCAGGGTTCCCGGGTTGCTGGCTTCCAGGGTTCAAATCTTGTTTGCTGACTTCAGCCATAAAAAGAATTGGCCGTGGCCATAGATTTGCTCCGTTCTAACGACATTTGAAGTGCTGCTGCTGCAACCAGCGTCTAATCTTGTTTTGGCCGCTTCCCAGATCCGAGAGAGTTCCTGGCCAGCAGCCGCCGTTGGCCATTTGTGTTTGCCCATGTTCATGATCACTTAATTAAAGCTGGCCCACAGTTTCGCCGGCTTTAGCTTTATGTTTATTGCGGCTGCGCGGAAAATATGCTGTGTGATGCCTGATAAATTTATGTGGCCGCGCGAAATGAGCGTAATTTGGTGGGTTCTCCCCGGGATTTCCTGGGCAGCACCCTTTGGCTGACAAGCTGATATATGTGCGTGATAAATGTGGCAAATGCGGTTTGTGTTGTTTCTTTGCCGCGATTGGAAATCACGAAATGGTCAAACTTCGGTACGCAACGCGGCAGCGAAAGAGTTGCGGCAGTTAATCTCCCGCACGTAATGCCCATTTCCAAATGATCGGGATTTACAACAAATCGAAGGCACTCTTTATCTGATTAGCGCTTAATAGCTTTCTTTCTGCGTTTAATTGTAATTGTCGATCGTTTTTTCTTTTTCACTTTTCGGAATGCGATCCTAATTGAGAAAAGATGGCGGCGACTGGTCAGTGATGACACTAAAGCTATTCGATAGTGCGATAACAGTGTGCGAAAACGCAAACACTGAAACTAACGACAGTTAAACGGTGGAATTTTTAAACGGAATTTTGAATATTTAAAAATATAATTTTATAAAAAAACTTATAAGGCCTCCCATTTTTAAAATGCCTTACCTAACTTAAACTAACGGCACAGTTGACATGACATCGTCGCAAAAATATCCATAGATCTTATCAAAATATTTGTACAATGTCAAATAATTTTTGAATGAAGGCCAAAACAACAGCCGCCGGTCACTTCAACAGAAGTCTTAGCTAAAGCCCCTTGTCGTCGGTAAGTAAAGCCGAAAAAATTCGTTGAGTAGCTTGCTATGCGAACAAGAAACTGGCTCTTCCTCTAGCCCCGATCCCCGCTGTTGCTGTCCTGCTCTGATGCTGCTGTCAACGCTATCTTCGCCGTCATCAACGTCACTGTCGCTGGTGCCGTCTCTGTTCGACGCTCTGGGGATGATCTCATCTGGTTTTAACCTGTCTAGCCACTAAATCAAAGTCAAAGAAGCGAGTGACACATTTTTGCCCGATCGACCGAAAAATACTCTCCACACAAAAAACCCACAGACGTAAAATTAATGATGGCATCTTTATTAAAAATAAATGCTGATAGCTTGAAAAATGTGTGCTCTCGCTAAACAAACACTTTGAAAGCATCGTCTCAGCTGATGAGCTGGGAGCGATGATGGGGATAGTCTGAACACACCCAAAAGTAGGAGGCCGGATGCGGACGCGTCATCGATGCAATCGACGGTAGTTGGGAATTTTTGTGAAATGTTTATTTTTATTTGTAATTTGCTTTGCTTTGCATGTCGTGAGTGGCAATTGGGCTCTTTTGATTGATTTCCAAATTGCAGGCGGCGCCCTATTTTTAGTTGTCCTCTCTGCGGTTTCTTGTGTGTTTTTAAATCATAAATCTCGCATAAATCGATTTAAGCTGCCGGGCCACGCCCACCTGCTGGTGTGCCCCATCAATTAATTACGCTTTTTCAATGTCAAACTGTCGCATGAAAAAAGGTGCGTCGTCGTCGTTTGCTTAACCCTTTCTTTAGCTGGCTGCATAAATCTTGGGGCGCCGCAGAATGGTACCTGTGCCTTGAGTCTGAGCCCTGATCCTGCGGCTTAGCATTTTTTTCTAATTGCACGTTTCCACCGTCTCGATGTGAAGGTCACTGACAGCATTATATGCACAGAGAAAAACAGTATTTAAAAGTGGGAATTGAGGTTTTGGGGGCAAAACGAGGGCGGGAATAAAATCCAGACCACTTTAATTCATTCCCCAGTGCATTATCCGCGAACATACATATATAATTTCGCGCCTGGCTTACAATGCCGCCGGCCTGTCTCCAACAACAAGAAGCTACGGGCGGAATTGTGGATGGGGCTGGGTGAGCTTATTTTATTCACCTGCCCGCATGCCACCAAACTGCAGGAGCAGCCGCGATGCAACCAGTTCGCATGAAAATGCATAATCAATCACCAGCGACAACAGAAACCAGAAAATGCCGCGACTTTGTGGCAGAAGATGGAATACCCTTGATAAAAGCCGGTATCGATCTCGGCAGCATCTTGAAATTGTTCTGCCACTTTGAGACAATAGAAAAGGTCATATCTTTGATAAAAGTCAAAGTTGATCAAGCAAATTTAATTCAATAGCTTAATTTTTTAAAATTTTGAACGTTTTTTAGTTATTTTAACGGAATTTCAAACGAACCGATACCTATCGCCTATCGCAGAGGTTGCATTATTCTGCCAGCTTGAAACATTGGAAGTGGCACAACACTTTGTTCCAATAAGAGCAATTTAATCGATTTCAATGCCGGCTTACATAGTTTTGCCATCTCTAACAGTGGATTAGTGAAATTTTGCGATCGGCTCTAATTGTGTGTTTTTCTTTTGTTAATTGTGATAGTTTCGACGCGTGCGATAGAATCTTATTGTGTAATTTCGGTTAAGTGCAATTGAAAGGCTCGGGATAAAGTTAGGGTATCGCGATCGTATCAATGGAGCATCTTCATCTGACAATTCGCGCGACTCGAATGTGAAGGTGCGATTGCTCGCTTTACTGCAATATTCGCCTTATTTTACCGACTCTACAAGCTGCAAGCACCAAGCTCCGACTCCAACTATCCACTTGACTTGTTAACAATTCGTGTAAAGTTGCCGCTCATTAAAAACTCATAAATCAGGAGCGGCAGGGAGGGAGGAGGAGGAGGAGGAGAAGGTAATTGCCGTTGCCGGCCCAGTGTCAAAATAAAAGGAAAATAAAGGAGCCTTCTGCTTGGGCCGCTCAACGGAAATGATCGACCACCAGGTGGAGGAATGGAATACACAGCTATTCGACACTGGTTTCCGCATATTGGTTGTGTTCAGGGGCCTGCCTTTGATTAATGATAAATGTGCCCGGTGCATCCGCCGCTATGACATTTATCCCAGCGCCGACGCCGACGCCGCTGCTGCTTTAGCCTGAGAACCCGCTAAAGAAGTCGAATGCCAAAGTCGCCAGTTAAAGCCATTAAACCCCGCGATGGAGCGAGCTGCTTGGGCGCACAATTTAAAGCAGAAACTAACGCAGTTAGACAACAAAACCACTTTCAAGAGCCTAACTCTGGCTCTGGCTCTGCCTGGCAAACAGGGAAAACGGCTTTCAACTCGTTTCGCTGGCCGCTCTGTGGCAGTTGCATGCACTTGAAGATAAAATGTGATTTTAATGAGGTAAGGAAAATCATACTTTTGAGGGCCTTTAAAAAACACCCTTTAAAGGTCTTTAAAAGTCTGATTTTTAATTATTTTATATTGCATTTTTATAGTAATTTTTAGTAATAAACACAACTTCTTTCAGTGTTGATGTTGTTTGCTGCCGTGGGTGCAGCCGTTGCATGTTGCATGCTGCCTGCTGCCAGTACGTTCAACTTTTCCAGTTAACAGTTAGATTTTGAAATAGCCAGCAGCATTGGCTCTGTCTCTAGCTCTGGCTATGGCATACCAGTTTTTCCTGGCCACGGCCTGAGAACCCGGCGATCAAGATGCGCAGCTTTGGCTAACCGACGGAAGGAAATTGCAGTCCGTTGCCGTTGCGCACATCAAATAAATACTGGTACTTGGCAATTTTTGTGTTAAAACAAAATTAAAGCAATGCTGTGGTGCTGTGGTGCTGCGGTGCGGTGTAACATTAACCCAAATACATAATTCTTTGGACGGACAAGGATCGGCGCATTAATCATTGGCAAAAACAAACCCGAAGAAGGGGACACAGCGGCATATTTGGGTTTATGGGTGAGTTCCTCTACCACTACTACTACTGCTACTTCTACTACTACTATTAAGCTACTACCTAAGCAGGAAATCATTAGAGCGGCTTTAAGGAATCTCTGCGGTTTTGTATCTTTCTTGAGAATTTTATTGTTTAGCTCAAGGTCGGTTTCTAAGATTTCTGGTGGAGATTTTGAGGCATATTTTGAGGCAGGGGAGCAAGAAATCACATCAAGGTTGATGTTTCCTTGAAGGAAACAAAGTATTTTAAGTAAGTCTGGAATCGTATACCATAAATTTCACATATTCTTATACATTACATCTTCTTTACAGCCTTATATGTTTACATACAAAAGTGAGACATTACCACAGGATAGCCAAGAAAGAACAATGTATACTTATTGTCAGCGGGAAAGCGTCTAGATCCGATTGACTTTAGCAAGACTGTTGACAAGTTTCTGATAAGATTAATATGCCGCACGAGCTTAAAGGTTAAGCATGCAAATCAGGGAGCAATGCAGAGGGATAGCATTGACCGCTCAGAAGGACATGCATGATCTCTGGCCAGGCAGCAGGAGTCTCTGAGCTACTAAATCTCTTTATTGCACAGAGTGCCACCGACACAATGGGGGGAACACTGAACTGTAGACGCCGACTTATTTGTACTGGGACCCTATCCTCCACCATTCCTGATGTATTGTTTTTCTGTTTTTGTTTTTTTAGTCCCTTGTTTATGGTGTGCCTGCTGCTGGCCTGTTTTGTTTATGCACATGCATCCAATGAGATCAAGTCTCGATACGCTTCGATTTGTTAAGAGATGGCACCTTGGCAACCTGGCCGGTGGTGTCGCCTTGACATAATTGAGACATTATCATCGATGGTAAAACCATCGCACCGACTCTATTTGCTAAGCCAGCAAAGAGTCTCGGGACTCGGGAGTCTGCAAAATGTCAAGGTTACATTACACCGACCTTTTTGCCAACAATTTAAATGCAATTTTTGCTTAAATAAGAAATAAAATCCGCCATGCAAAAGGCACAACAAATATTTGCTAATTTATCCTGTACGTGTCCTCCAACTAAGTGCACAGGTTTTAGGCCTTAAGCCGGCAGCCGAAGCTACAGCCGCACGTTGCCATTGAGTTGACCCTCCTCAGCCTCATCCTTATCCTCATCCCCATCCACATCCTCGTTGCTCTTTTGCTCTTCGGAGCCCGTGTTGATTGTTTGCGTTGAACGCTCGCTGTTAAAATGCCTTTGATCTTCTGATATTTCTGCTTGGTGCTGGACCTGGGGACCTCGATCCTCACGGCGGGCGTATTTAACTTCGACTTTGACTTTAGGCCCTTTTCTGGTCTCTGCGGGCAACTTGTTAAAAAGAATGTCGACTCCGGGCAACGCATGTTTCCAACCCAGCTTCTTCTTTGGGTTTTCGGTTTCTACTCTTTTTGGATCCTGAAAATTTCGCTTTCATTGCCCGGCCTCTTGGCCATGACGCTGTTGTTTTCCTTTTTTTTTCCCATATTTAACCCAGAAATTAGCCCGAACCGGCCCTTTTAATGCATTTTCAATGGCTTACCTGCAAAGATACGGAGAGAGAAGAGAGAGAAGAGAGGTGTTAATTAGGCTTTTTATAGTGTGTCATGACTTAAGCTACACTCTACTTTGCCCTGGGTGTGTGTGCAACATTATTGGCAAAGCAATCTTCTCAGGCGGCCCCATCTCGCTTGCTAAACATAAATGTCAATATTTATTTACGCCGCTGCGGTCGCAATTTATTTCAAGTTTTTTTTTTTAATTGAAAAGGCAGACCTCAGCGATTCGGACTGTGGACTGTGGCCATCGATTTTGCAGGCACAATGTGTCTAACCTGTGTCTCGTAAATGTCCATTTTGATCGTAAATTGTGACTGTAAGCCACACTGCGGGCTTAATATTGGCTTAAATGTATTAAAGCCAAGGACTTTTGCCATGAAAAAGTATGAACTAAATAGGTTTTTACTTTAAGCAAATACCTTGTACTCACTTTGAAGCTCTTTGCCTTGTGCATTGCCCATGCATGCCTGGCTATTAAAAGAGAATAGTACAAAGAACAAATTCAGATAATCTGTAATTTATTCCCATTTCCAATTACTCTTTTTTTGTAAGGCTTGCAAAGCCTGCACTGATTTCCGGACTGACACACTTTCTTGGAGTGTAGTTTTTCGGCCCACATGTGTGTGTTTGTGTGTGCTTTCTTGCAGACCTGACCTCCAATTGTTGGAGCCTGTGGCGCCTTCGATGGCTTTCCAAAACGAAAAAATGCTGCACAATTTTCGCCTACGCCGGGTGAAAGAGTCTCTTGTCTGGCCAAGAAGCCGGAGTAGGAGATGGAGTAGGCCCTGGCCATAAATGGACGCACACGATCTGTGGAGTACAGTCCGCAAGTGGCCATAAATGGATCTGGCCATTAGAAAGGTAAATTGCAGTCGATTTAATTCAATGCAGGCGGCAGTCTAAACTCTAATTACAAGTGTCTCTGTCTGGTGACCTCTTGACGGAACGCTTGGCTGATTTGACTACACTTGCCTCTCCCTCTTTTTTTTTGATTCTATATAATTATGATTAAGCCAGGGGATCCGCTACAAAACGATCAATCATAAAAAGGGCTAACGGAAATAAACCCAAAAGAGTATTCCAAAGAGTGTGTGAGTTTGTGTGCGTAGCAGATTCATTCTTTACAATACTAATTTATATGATTTTTACGTAGCTATCCGGCGGAAGTAAACCTTGGCTCTGGTGTTGCCTTCTTGCCACTCTTCTTGGCCATGTTTATTTGTGTTGTAAATTGCGAATGCGCCCCAAAGCAACAACAAAACATAACGCGCAGTCCCGCACTTCAATAAACAACACACATCACGTTGGAGAGAGACAACAAAACACCACAACAACACTACAACAACACTGCAACAACACCACAACAACAGGCCGCCGCAGCCACAACAACTATATACTTGGGCATTAGTTGCCGCTGGCATTGCGTACGTGCGCGGACCCGGCGTCGCCATATAGCCAAGGCACAGAGCCATACACAGAGAGAAATAAGATGGATTTACTAGAAATATATCTGAAGGATTTCGAATATCTTAAAGAAGTCTAAAGGCTGGCAAAGAGATCTCCAAGTGAGGCAGGAAAGATATCTATATCCTCTTGACTTTCAACAAACTTCTCCCCCAAGAAACTGCGGAAACAAGCTCATCTTTCTCAATTGATTTTAATTGCAATTTCTCACTGTGTAGTGGTTAGTTTTCTTTGGGTTTTACCACTGACAAAGACGACAACCACGCATCGTAAAAAAGAGTTTTATGCAATTGCCGCTTTGGCTTTCGACGTTGTGACTGTATCGCCTATTGTATAATAGCACCAAGTGTGTGTGTCTGCGGTATGTGCTCTGCATAATTTTATGATTCGCCCGACAGTTCCTGCAGCCATGTCCATGTCCATGTCCATTGGCAATTTCCACACAAACACACACACCACAGGAGGAGGAGTCTCTTCCCTTTCGGACGCGTGGGTGGAGAGTGCGCTGAATGCATGTGGATTGATGCATTGATTGAATTTGGCCATCAGAAGAAGGGCCAAAGTCAAGCCCCACAATGGCCCAGCGTGAGTCGATTATATATGTGACTGGAATTGGCAACGGAATGCCGCCATGGATGAGCCAAGAATGGTCGATGGTAATTGTAAATGGCCGGACAGGTCGTCGGTAGCTGCCATTCAGTGTTGCCAATTTGGCCAAATTTGGCAAGTGACTAGGTTTTATTTTCGAAGTTGTTGTTTTCCACGAAGAGTTTCTGCAGAATCTTTCGAGGCATTTTTTAGAGCTTGAAACGGAAATTTTGTTCATTAAACTGGGACAAACTTGAGGATCTAAGATATATCCATATATCTCTCAATGCCTGATGAAAATCCTCTTCATATAAGTCCAGTTTCTTATCCCATAATATATATTTCCTAAGCTCTGTAATTGCTTTTCTACATTGTATGGCTTTCTTGATGCCTTATCCCCACCTCATCTTGATTTATTTAGTTGCCTTAATTTATGACTCCACTTCAAAGCGATATGTATATATATATCCTAATCCTGGGTAGCATTCCTGTTTAAAATTATCGCCATACTTGTACTTCTGAACCAGTGGCAAGGGAGCCTTGATTTAAATATACAAAAATAACTAAATCTAGGGGACAGAACAGCCCTGCAAACAAGAAGTTCTTGTAAAAAATGCAAATCAATAAGCACGGGTACTCCCAAGGCAGGCAATAAAATAAATGTAAGAAGGCATACGAAAAAACCTTACACAAGCCGAGTTCTTTCAGGATAAACATAGTGACTCTTTTTCTTTTTTTAATTGTATTTTGTGGCATCTGGCAGCGGTTGCAATTTGGTTTAGTACCTAGGTGTTAATTATCGCTAAAAGTCAATGGCGTACAATCGATGAAATCTGTACAGGGGCATTCGCATAGCGAATTGTCGTCGTTGTCGTTGTCGGTCCTTAAGCTTTGCATCTGTTCCCCTGGAGAATACTTAGAGTGGAGTCCAAGCTGGAGGGGATTGGAGTGGAGTCTTCCAGCAGGTTGCCCAGTCGGGACAGCTGTACAAGTGGTCACGATAATTAATATGAAAATATGTAAGGATAGCAGGGGACAACACAAAATGTTTGCTGCTATTTTTAGCAACTTTTTGCTGGGCTTTTTTTTTTTTTAATGAGCCCTGTCCAAAGTCGGTCTTGGGTTTCCGTAGAACCCTTCGGGCCACCCGGGTGTCCTAATTATGCGCTCATTTCGTTTGGCTTTTATGAATTATTAAAATAAGCAAAGTGACGCCTGCATTAATTGCTTTATAATAGAGATGGTCCCGGGACTCGATTGCAGTTGCAGTTTTTCTTTATTTTTCTGCTGTTCCCTGCTCATATTTCTATAATTTATTGTAATGCACTTGGGGCGTGTTTCATTTCTCGCTTTAAAATGGCATAAATTTTTAAGCCTT